GAACACATGAATGTGTATAATTTAGTTTTTGATGCCATGTTGATAAATTCTGAAGATGGGAAAGTATGCTCAGTTCCTTTCCAAACAATCCAATTAAACTGAAAAGAGATTATAATTGGCAGTGCTAGCCTTTTAAGAACTTGAATTCAAGCAAGATTAGAATAAATACAATAATTCCTTACTGAAGAGCAGCTCTAAATATTACAACAAATACTAAAGGGAATTTCTTCAGCTTCAATGAGTTGTCCAACTTTTATTTTTAAAGAATTCTATTGCTACTTTAGACTATTTTACACTAAATACAAACCAGTATACTTTTCACATGCTCCAATAGCTGAAGTTCTCGATGTAGAAATAATTTCTATAGCAACAAAGCTGTCAGGGAAAGATATGATACACATGTCTTATGAATTCAAGCATGTTCTGAGGAAAGAATAGAACCCAGACTGTAAGGACCAGTATACAAGAGTAATTAAATCAGATGACAGGAGACGAAGAAAGTTTTAAGGGGAGAGGTGATGCTGTTTACAGAAATGAGAATGAAGGTTTTAGGATATACATCATATTTAGCTTCATAATTATAAATGTTATTATTCAGCTTTTTATTGGCACAAGGACTAGAGCATTTTTGGACTTAATTCCACAATCTTCTAATATGGATGTATCATACAAAAACAACAGTTACTATTGTGCCTCAAATCTGTTTCATTATCACATTTTTGTGCTGATTTGAATTCAGTATTTTTGAAGCACATTTCATTTTTATTAAATTTGAGATGGAGGTTAAGATATTTGTTGCATATAATAAAGGAAGTAGAGAATGAATATGCAACCTGCTTTTTTCCCCCTAGTAACAGGAAATTAAGTAATACATTATAAGCATTTATGACTTCTGTGTGTCCAGATCTAATCAAATAGACCTCTTCAGTGGACTTGCTACCATGATTTGTTATGCTGGTAATGTCAGTGTAGTACCAATCTTCATTAATCTAGGACCATGTGATATGAATATGTCCAGACAGTGTTTTTTTTAGAGGAAAGCAGGCAACACTACATTTATTCTCCTCTTCTCTTCACCCGCCTTTTTGCATCTGGAAATTCTATTTTAGCAGAATGAGAGTTAACTTGTTTTCCTTGTAAGGTTGAAATCTTCCAAATCTCCATCTGGGCAGTATTGTTTTGGGTGCAAGTAATTGTTAATGCAGTAGGTGTGGATACTAAGGAACTTAAATATGCTGGGAACTTTTATTTATTTTTATGATTTATTCACACATTTTATATCCAGCAGTATTTCAGTTTTCTGCCTTCATGGATTCTGTGTACTTGGTTCTATTAAAGGCTAACTTCAAAATGCCAAGAGCAAGCATTCTAGGACATCCTTAGGAAAAATAGATAACTACTCAATTTTTTTAAACCAGAGGATGGTATCGTTGAAGTAATCCTTTCTCAGTCTCAAGATAACTGCTAACTGAGATTTTCTGTGTTCAAAGTAGAAGAGGGTTCCTAATATCACTCTTAATTCTCATTGCCAGCATTAATTGTTCTCATTAAAACTGGCAGCAAAAACAATAGTCTATTCTGTTACATTCTTCAAGATCTTCTGGGATCTCAGGGCTTCTGTGTCAGTTAAAAGCATTATGGCTTTCTGTTTATGCTATCAGATGTCTAAGATGACTTTGACTTGGCATATATGGTTGTCTGTCCCCATCTGGAGAACAGTGGTTTATAAATTATTCTTCTGTTTCTCCTCAACCATTGTTTTTAGTACAAGTAAAACTGCACATAAATTCTCCAGGATCCTCACATGGTGAAAGTTCAATTCTGTTAAAGTCAGATGAAATCTTTTCCAAAGTCTGACTACAAAAAGTCTCTTTTGGGGAGGATAAGTCATCCTCAGGTGACTTGAACTACATGATTTCTAGATTTAATTGTCACCCCAAGATGAGAGATGGTTCAGTGATTAAAGTACAAACCTTTTGTTTGGGGAATCCAAGTTTATACCCTGGTCTGGGACTTAGTCTGTCAATACCTCAGCTTCTCATCCCTAAAATGGAAATAATAATACAATAATAGTTGTATGGTGTTCAGATACTACTGTAATAGGGGCAATATGGAGACATTAGATTTTCTCACATCTATGTACAGAAAAATGCACAAAAAATTGTTTCACTTTTTATCACATGCCAAAAGAAGGTAGTCCTTCTCAATGAAGAGAGCGTTGTGGATCCTAAAGATTGTATTACTGGTCTCAATGCCTTTGGTTACATCTTTGGTGATAAAGCCAGACTGAGAAGTTTTACCAGATCTTAAATGATAGCTACTTCCCCCAAGCATGGGGGAAAAGTAGGCTTTGAGTTCCCATACTTAAACCATGCCCAATCAGCTGTTACAGTGAGTCATGGAGTGCACAACGTATTTTATGTAGGTGATTGTGACACAGGTGCAAACAGATATTTTTGTAATGCAATAATGCTAATATTCATCTTTCGTGAAATAGCAATTCAAAAACATTTCTGATCTTATCATACCATTATAGGATCTCCATGTCAATTTATAAATATCTATTGTTCAAATAAAGTACTACCAATTCCTAAGCTATTGGGTCCCACAGTATATTTTAATTCAGATGTACCATACTTTCTACAGTGAAAAAAGCACATTATTACCAAGGTACTGTATTTACTCAAATACAAAATGAGGTTTCCCCCCGCTAAACAGCAAGGGTGGTAGGGGGAGGGAGGGTCCTCATCATACCTTTGCATACAGGGAAACCTTACTCAATACACTGGTTGTCATTAAACTGCTGCCAAAAGCAGCACATGCTCAGTAGTGGAAACCAAATACGATGTTGATTAAATGTAGCCAGCACTGAATGTGATTATAAAACTTATGGCCCATACAAGACTGTAGATCTCTGGACACACATACTGATGGGAACAAGGATATGTTAGTGCAGTCTACCTGAATAATATATATGGTAGTGCCTGTTGTATGCAGTCCCCCTGAGCACTGACTGTTTTTCAAGTCATGGTGAACTACTACATGGAATACATTTCTACTTTCTTTTCTCTCTCACAACTGAGCTGCACCTTTCTTTCCCATTTCCAATGATTCTGGTTTTTTCATGTGCCTTAAATGCCTGGTAAAAAAATGGGGCCCCAAACAGTTCACCCAGAATCCCTCTGTTGCCCCCTCTCTCAGCCTGGTGCACATGATTATTGTGCCCTAGCCTCCCTAAGGTGAAGTCAGACTAGGAAGCTCTAACCTCATTTGAATGTAGATTTTTGGAACAACTCGGAGCTTATGACAAGAACGCCCAGTTCCAGTCATGAGTGGGGGGCTAATTAGCACATTGATTCTTTGTGAAGGGCATCTGGAATACACACACACATGCTGAGCAGTGGGGTCACCATGGCTTGAAATGCTGTTGAGTGCTGGGGCCCAGCTTAATGTGGTAAATTAAGCGTTTTGGCTTTGGAATAGTATCATGCATAGTTTGTACTGTATATGAGTAGGTATAAGAGGGCTGTTTAAAATTGTGTTTATGAAGTACCTGTTCTAAAAGTTGTAGTAGTTTCAAAAAAGTAAAGTGCATCAATGCTGAATGAACAAAGTCTATTGGTACCCATAGTAATTTGCTTTTATGCAAATTCCAGGCATCTTTATTTCAAAGTCATTGTTTTCAAAGTTGCCTCTCACTTTGATATGCTTGCAGAGAGCAGGTCTGATATTAAGGGTGGGGGAAGAAGTGGGGATGTGGGAGGAGCAGAGGGCAATGGGGCCACTTGACCCCCTAGATTTATTTTCCTTGCTGTAGCAGTGGAAGGGGACAAATTCAAGGCAAACTTGCAAGAATAAGATTCTGTATCTGGGAAATTATAACAAATGCATAAATATTCCATATATAGAATCTAATTATTGAGAGGTTGTCTTATATTCAGGATTGTTTTATGTTTGAGTACGTATGGTACAGTATGTCCAGACATTGTCTGTTTACAAAATTGAGGAAATAAGCACTGTATTAAAAACACATGCATAGAAGAAACTGACTATTAATGGCTAGCTGTGTAAAAGTATGTTCTTTTTGACATCAGCTGTTCTGGCTTTCTAACTGTGTCTGTGAAGTCATTGGCATCTGACTGACTCTTCACCATATGCTTTCCCAGTTTCTAGTGCTTGTGCAAATTCTGGAAGAGATAGTATTACACATTCATTGTTGTCATCTCCAGCTTCATTGTCAGGGCTGTCATAGTATAATTTGCAAGTATGCTGTAAAAAATATATTGATATTTCATTTGCTGTCTGGTAACCAAGGGTGTGCAAACATTACATTTCTATCTGTAGAATCACATGGTAGGTATGGCAGGTCCGTGTATGGTGGGAACTGGGTCTGTGTAATTTAGGTCTGGGAGGGGGCAGAGTCTGACCTGATTTGAATCCAATCACAGCGGACCAGAAGTGTCTAGACTCTGATTCCGATGCCTGGATCTGGCAGCACCTGACCAACCTAGCAGTATGCAGAGATGAATTTGTACCCCTGATTTTATACTTTTTTTCTTGGCATTTTGAAGAAGTGATTTAATGTTCTTACTCTTCTCTGTTTAGAAACTACATTATGAAAAAATCATAGGGTTGCAAGGTACCTCAAGGGTCACCCAGTTCATGCCCTGCACAAATACTGGATTGACTATTCCTGAACATCCCAAATAAATGCTTTGTCAACCAACCTCTTCTGGAAAACCTTCAGAGAAAGATTTCAAAGCTTTCCTGGGCAAACAAAACTTAAATGTAGTAAAAATGATAAATTTTTCTCTAGGATGATGGAAACTGGCAACAGTTCTGCCTTCTTATGCAAAATGCCTTTATGCTAATTTGGAATCTATAAAAGTTTTAAAAGTGAAAGTAGTTCTGTGTTCAAAACATTACTTCATTTTTATATTGTAGTAACTATAATTTTGAGTTAATAGAATTTTTTACTGCAAATATTTTTCTAATTTCAGGTGTTGGTCCTTCCACGTGTTTCACCACTTAATATCAGTAATTTATCTGGCTCAGAAACCATGCCAAGCATGCCAAGAATAAATACTGAACCTTCATCCAGTAATATATATTCTTCATATGAAAGAATCCTCCTTACATGGCTGAATAAACATTATGAAAAGAACCGAAAAATTGTGTGGAAAAACTGTCAAAAAGGTGAAGAAATTCTTCAGCTATTCTCTCTCGCTCTTTCTCTGAGTAGTGTTTCTTTATATCTTAAGGGCATTGTCACAGTTTGCTACTGAAAGCATGTTTTTTCTTTGTATAAATGTCCATAATAATTCTATTTCTACTATACATGCTCATTTGCTCAAAATTGGAACCTTTTACCAGCTATTTCAAATGGGCATTGCCTCTATATGCCTTTGCCCCTCCTCCATGCTCTATGACATTGAGCATATATTATGGAGAAGGCTAATTATCCTGGTTCCTTCCTTCCACCTGTGGCTGCATGACAGATGTGATAGCAATATTCACATTAAGGCACTGCAGAAAGCACGTGGAATATTTGGTTCTGTAGTGTAGGTAGTGTTACATTTAGCTGCTAAGTGTAAGGAGTATTTATGGGATTTTTTTTATGGCTAAAGTCAAGTACCAGGTAGGAAATATGACTGACCCTGACTCTTTAGGATTTAAATAAAGCCACTTCACAAAAAGGGCAGTGTCTCAAAATGTGTGGTGATGACCTTTCTTTGGTGATGACCACTCAAAATATGGGGCTACTGATTTTGCTGTACCCTAAGGGGCCATATGAGGCCCCCAGAGAAAAGTTTATTTCATTTTGTGACGGTTAGTTAAGTGACATGAACTTCCTTACAGGCTGCAGCTGATGCCTTCAATACAGCTACATTTTCCATGGCCATTTTCATCGTTAGGAGAAAGGCATTTATGTTACAGATCTTGGGTATGCTTAAAGTAGTGCAATACAGGAACTCTCCCATAGAGATTTGAGTTATTTTTATTTGTAGACTACCTAGAATTTTATGTAATTCACAAATATCCATGTGTCCTATAAAAATGCGTCCAGTACAGTACAGTAAAAGTCTTGTTATCTGGCATTTTACTAACCTGTGTTTCTATTAACCGGAATTTCTGGCCAGCTGGCCAGATACAGGGGCGGGAGAAAGCTGGCATGCAGCAGCCACTGCCACCACTATCCATCACCCTGCACTGCTCCACATATGGCCACTGCCACCCCCCCCCCCCCCCCCACATGTGGCCGGAAACCCCTGTGCCTCAGGTAACTGATATTTTTAGATTACTGGCACCCCCTATTCCCCACTCATTCTGGAAAACAGGGCTTTTACTGTATATCAGGCCAATATTCTCCTATCTGAGGGTACCCTGTAGTTTCTCATTTGACAGTAGCAACCTCACTTATGAATCAAAGTGTGGTTCTATTTGGGGTGTTGGGCCCCTTTTTCACATCTTAGCATTGTGCTGTCTGTATCATCTGTCCATGAAAATGGTCTTCCAAATGATTACATTAGCCTAGAATAGGGGTGGCCAACCCGCAGCTTCGGAGCCCCAATGCGGCTTTTCAGAAGTTAATATGCATCTCCTTGAATCTTTGCACAAGCACACGGTGACCAACTTCCAGGGACACGACTGCTTGCAACGAGCACATTACTCAGTTTGGACTTGGAAGTTTGGATTCCGGAGCCGTGGGTTGGCCACCCCTGGCCTAGATGGTAGGGGATATGTAGGTACTCATAACATGTCCACAGTACATTGTCACAGAATCTCAGAGTCATAGAAAATTAGGGTTGGAAGGGACCTGAGGAGGTCATCTAGTCCAATCCCCTGCTCAAAGCAGGACCATCCCACTTAGATCATCCCAGCCAAAGCTTTGTCTAGCCGGGTCTTAAAAACCTCCAAAGATGGAAAGTCCACAACCTCTCTGGGTAACCTGTTCCAATGTTTTAGTACCCTTCTAGTGAGAGTTTTTCCTAATATCTAATCCAAACTTCCCTTTCTGCAACTTGAGACAATTGCTCCTTGTTCTGTCACCCACTGAGAACAGCCTACCTCCACCCTCTTTTGAACCCCTGTTTCAGGTGGTTGAAGTCAGCTATTAAATCTCCTCTCAGTCTTGTCCTTCCCAGACTAGATCAGACCAGTTTCCTCAGCCTGTCTTCATAAATCATGTCTCCCAGCCTCCCCCAGCATTTTCACTGTCCTCCGCTAGAGTCTCTCCAATTTGTCCACATTGTTTCTGTAATGGGGGGCCCAAAATTGAGCCCAGTACTCCAGATGTGGCCTCCCCAGTGCTAAATAGAGGGGAATAGTCACTTCCCTTCCTCTGATGGGAACACCCCCTACCAAAGCAGATTGTTGTTTGGCAGAAAACTCTGTTGGCTCATATTAAGCTTATTGTTTACTGTAACCCCCAGGTGCTTTTCTGCAGAACTGCTGCCCAGCTAGTCAGCCCCCAGCCTGTACTGGTGCATGGGATTGTTCCATCCTAAGTGCAGGGCTTTGCACTTGTCCTTGCTGAACCTCATGAGATTTCTTTTCATTTAGTCCTCTAATTTGTCGAGGTCACTGTGAATCCTAATCCTACCCTCCAGCATATCTACTACTCCCTTCAGCTTGGTGTCATCTGCAGACTTGCTGGGGGTTCACTCTATGCCATCTTCCAGGCCCTTGATGAAGACATTGAACAAAACTGGACCAACCTTCAGGTTGGAGGACTGACCCCTGGGGCACTCACTTGATAACAGCTGCCAACTAAACCTTAAGCTATTGGTTGCTACCCTCTGGGCCCAATGCTCCAATCAGTTTTGTGTCCACCTTACAGTCCATTCATCCAGCCCATACTTTCATAGCTTGCCTGCAAGAATGTTGTGAGAGATCATATCAAAAGTCCTGTTAAAATTAAGATATACCACATCCACAGAGCCAGTCATCCCATCATAGAAGTCAGTCAGGTTAGTCAGGCATGACTGCGCTTGGTGAATTGAGGCTAACTGTTCCTAATCACCTTCTTCTCCTTCAAGTGTTTAGAAATGGATTCCATAAGGATCTGATCCATGATTTTTCCAGGGACTGAGGTGAGGCTGACAGGTCTGTAGTTCCCTGGATCCTCCTTTTTCCCTTTCTTAAAGATGGGCACTATGATTGCCCTTTTCCAGTCATCTGGGACCTCTCCTGATTGCCATGAGTTTTCAAAGATGGTGGCCAGTGGCTCTGCAATCTCATAAGCTAACTCCCTCAGCACACTTGGTGCATTGCACCCAGCCCTATACACCAGCTTTTCTAAATAGTCCGTAACCTTTTCTTTCACCGCTGAGGGCTGCTCACCTTCCCTGCAAGCTGTGCTGCCTGGTGCAGTAGTCTGGGAGCTGACCTTGCCTGTGAAGACTGAGGTGAAGACAGTATTGAGCACTTCAGCCTTTTCTGCATCCTATGTCACTAGGTTGCCTCCCCCATTCATAAAGGTACCCATACTTTCCCCAATCCTCCCCTTGCTACCAACATACTTTTAGAAGCCCTTCTTGCTACCCTTCATGTCCCTTGCGAGCTGCAACTCCAACTGCACTTTAGCCTTCCTGAGTTCCTCTCTGTATACCCGACCAATACTCTTATACTTCTCCCTAGTTGTTTGTCCAAGTTTCCACTTCTTATAAGCTTCTTTAGTTTACTGAAGAGTTCCCTGCTAAGCCAAGCTGGCTTTCTGCCAAACAAGCTAGTCTTCCTTCACATGGAGATGGTTTGTTTCTGCATTCTCAGTAAAGCTTTAAAGTACAGCCAGCTATCCTGTACTGCTTTTCTGAAATCCAGGGTCCTTACTGTGCTGCTCTCCATCTTTCTTCTCCTCAGGGTCCTGAACTCAAACATCTTGTGGCTGCTGCTGCCCAAGTTTTTGTCTACTAGTATGTACTAGTATCCCTACCAATTCTTCCCTGTTTGTGAGCAACAGGTCAAGAAGATCATGGCCCTTAGTTGGTTACTTCAGGACTTGCACCATAAAGTTGTCCCCAACACTCTCCAAAAACTTCCTGGATTGCCTGTGTACTCCTGTATTGCCCTTCCAGCAGATGTCAGGGTGATTGAAGTCGCCCATGAGAACCAGGGCCTCTGTTCTGGAAACTTCCTCTAGTTGTTTGAAGAAAGCCTCAGCCACCTCATCCTCCTGTTCTGGTGGTCTATAGCAGACCCCCACCATGACATCACCTTTGTTGCTCTCTGATCTGACCCTAACCAAGAGATTTTCGACAGGCCTATTTCCAGTTTTATACTGGAGCTCTTTGCAGTCATATGGCTCTTTTACATAAAGTGCAACTCCTCCTTTTCTCCCCTGCCTGTCCTTCCTGTAGTGTTTATGACCATCCATGACAGTGCTTGAGTCATGCAAGCTATCCCACCAAGTCTGTTATTCCAATCACATCATAGCTGTGTGGTTGTGCAAGGACTTCTAGTTCTTCCTGCTTGTTTCCCAGGCTCCATGCATTTATGTACAGGCACCCAAGGTAACTAGTATTTGCCCTGATTTCTCAGAAAGAATTAGAACATCTCCCCTGTTTTCCCCATCTTGCTTGCTCTTTTTCCCAGTCGCCTACTTCCTCACGTACCTCAGAGCTTTGATCTCCATCCCCCAGTGAACCTAGTTTAAAGCCCTCCCCACTAGGTTAGCCTGTCTGTAAAGATGCTCTTCCCTCTCGTTGTCAAGTGGATCTCATCTCTTCGTAGCAATCCTTCTTAGAACAACAGCCTATGGTTGAAGAAGCTGAATTCCTGCTGGCGATACCACCTGTGCAGACAGGCATTGATCTGCAGGATGCACCTGCTCCTGCCTGGGCCCTTTCCTTTGACTGGAGGGATTGTTGAGAACACCACCTTAGACCCCCTCCTCTTCATCTTTGCACTCAAGTGACTTTGTAGTCACTTTTGATCTGCTCCCCTGGCAGTATCATTGGTGCCCGCATGGATGAGCAGCATGGTGTAGTAGTCAGAGGGACGGATGAGTCTTGGTAATCCCTCCATGACATGTTGGATCTGGGCTCTGGGCAAGGAGCAGACTTCCGAAGGCAACAGGTTAGGTCAGCAGATGGATTGCTTAGTCCCCTGAAGAAAGGAGCCTCCAACCAGTATCACTCATTGCTTCTTCTTGGTGGCAGTGGTCTTGATCCTCCCTGCCTTGGGGAAGCCTGGCCTGTCTTCCTCTACCCATGGAACATGCTCCTTACCCTTTGTTGCTAGGGCTTCATATCTATTCTCTAGATAAACTGCTAGAGGTGGAGATGAAGGTTTATGCTTGCTGCCAGAGGTCACAAGCTTCCACTTCCCTGGGAGTCCATGTCCTTTCCCTTCTCTAGTGTTGCCTCTGGCAGTTCTTCCTCCACAGTCATGTAGGTCTCCTCCAGCATCAAATCAATGAACTCCTCATGGCAAAAGAGTCTTTTAATGTGACTCTTAATACTCATTGTACATTTTTGCTTAAAATAATCGGTGGCTTCTATCTGAATTAGATGATCCATTTTCATGTTTTCTTCTGTAAATTCTACTCCTATCATGGGAGAAATAAACTTTGTACCTTTGATATACTGATAGATTTATTAACTTTATCTGGAAAGAATGAAATTGTTCAGGGTGTCCCCAAGGTTGTTTGTTGATAAGATAAATATTGAAGGTGCATCTATCAAGGGTTTATCTAAAAGTGTTTCTAATTCATTTTTTTTGTTATAAATTGCATAGATAAGACCCTTACAGAACTCATACTACCAGGGCTTAGTTACTTTTGTTCTGAGAAGTGGATTCTGAGGAGGCATTGTTTTCCTTTGTTGAAACAAGCATCTGCAGTCACATTTATGTAGAGTTTGAGCAATGTCCTTTGCTGCTTGAATGCTGGCAGAAGTTTGGCATATGTAGGCAGTTGCTTAGGAGAGAACAGCCTTCTAAACCTGTGGTTCAATATATGCATTCCACGAAATACTCTCCTTGTTTACTATGTCAGAATCTAGTAATAACTCTTGCATTCTGTAGAAAGGAAAAGAGTGTTGGTGCAATCAGACAGCCTTATTTGACTCCACTTCTAACGATGAAGGGGTCTGTTTCATAGCCATTGCTTAGGATGGTTGCTGTGATGTTGACATGAAGTTGGATGATGGTAAAACATTTTAACGGGCATTTGAATCTTACCAGGATCTTCCATACTCTGTTGATTGAGTCAAGGGCCTTTGGTCAATGAAGGCTGTGTAAACATCTTTGTGTTACTCATGGTCCTTCTGCAGCTGTCTAGTAACAAAAATTACTTGTTGTACTTCTGAGTGATCTGAAACCACATTGGGGTGTATATAGAATTTCCTTAGTAAGGAAGATGAGTGTGTTGAGGAGATTGTAAGTGAGGATCTTCCCATCTATGACAGGAGTACAATACCATGATAATTTCTTTGAACCATTCTGTCTCTTTTATTGTGTAAGGTAAGAATGTTGGCATGTCTCAAGTCTTTACGAATATATTCATGTTTCTAGATGTTCATAATAACGTGTTGTTGGTAAGAGCTTCTTTCCACCTTGCTTATAGATTTCAGCTGGTATTCTATCAGGATCACTTTTTGTTGTTTTTCATGTGTTTAATGGCTTTCAAGGCCTCTAAGTTGATGGATCTGCAAGGTAGTCCTTAATGGGGTGTTGTGGAATGGCATTGATGACTTTATTTGACTTCAGAAATTTGGTTCAGGAGTCTTGAAAGTTCTCCTTCCACAGAGTTCTCTTTAAAGAGTGTCATTCCATCCTTGCCCTCAGAGGGATGTCTCCTTGTGTGGCTGGCCCATAAATAGCTTTGATTGTGCTAATACCTTGATACCTTGTGGCTGTCAGCAACCTTTTGAATCTGTTTTGGTTTGTCCTCCCACTACTTATTCTTTCTCTCTCAAATATTCTTCTGGATCTCTCATATTTAATGTGGCAATAACTGTCTTGCTTCTATTTGGGGTTAATGTCATTCTGCCAAACTGTGAAGGCTTTCCTTTTTATGTTAATGAGAGCCTGACTTTCCCTTTCATTCTCATCAAACCAGTCTCGGTGTTTCTTTGTGGAGAAGCCTAGGGATGTGTCATGTTTCATAGATGCCTTTCTCGAGGCTTTCTGAGTGATTAATGGTGTCCCCAAGAAGCTTGGAGAGTTTCTTACAGGGAGGTTGGAGAGTAAAGTAAGTAAGGTTTAGAACAATCCTTTTCATTACTGGCCATATTTAGTATATTAGAATCTATAGTAATTAATTAAAATATTTTATCTTCAATTCTAAAGTAGGATTAAATGCTTATTTAGTTTCTAGACCTTTGTATGAAAGGTTTAGAATTGGTGTTCAATTAGTTATGAGTTTAATTAGGTCGTTGGAATTCTTAGAAAACAAGTTTATCTTATTAATCATCAGAATGGGATAGTTGGCACAGCAGGTTGATGTATTCATTTGTGAAGACCTGGTTTCAGATTTGGCTTTATGATACAAGTGAAAATGAGCTTTGTGGTCACCCTCTGGTCCCTAGAGGAAATTAATGTATACTGCAAACCTCCTTAGCACAATTTAACATAATACTTTTTCTTTACATTCACAGTAGTGCAAAAGTAGAAGAATTGCAGGAACAAGAGTAAATGTATTTTTGTGGGAATTTTGCAGGTGCCTGTTTCGACTATAACTGCTTCTAGTCAGTTTTTTTCAGTTCATCACTGTTGTGTCCCTCTGAAAATATAATTAATGTTGTTAATATGTCCATGATCCTGAGAGAGAATGCTATATCTCTATTTGACATGCACAAAACTATGTTAAAGCTATTAAGGTCTCAAAGCAAGTGTTAGTTTGTGCATGTACCATTCTGGTATTTCCTATCTTTATTTGGATCCCTGGTGCTTATGCATTATGAGACAGTCTTTAATTACATTAGTACATGCTGTTTTTTCCTCTTGGCACCCCTGCTCCATTCAGTACATGAAATGGGTCTGCTCTGGGAATGAATCGGGGAAGTTGAGTAAAAGATACTACTATCTGTAAGATTCATGTATTTGTTGTCAAAGTTTGGTCTTGTATTTTAAGAGAGTTAAAGTCTCTGAAGAATTTGGTTTTCTCTTGGACTTGGAGTACTTATGTGATGTTCAGTAAGTCATTTAAACTTTTCACAGTTGGTCACACTAACTGTTTGGAAAACTGGAAGGGAAACTGTTTTTCTGTCCTGCAAAAGTTTTCAAACTTTCACATTGGGATAAAACAAAACCATTTGCTGCATGTGTGAAGGAACAGCCACTAGTTGAGTAATGAGGAAGACTAGGCTTGTATTTCTTTGCTTGTTTGAGGTCAGGGGCTTGAACTTTTGTCTCCTACACTTCAGGTGACTGCCCTGGCTATTGGGGTATAGAACCAGTCTCAGTTGCTTTCTGGTCCAATGAATATTTAAATATTCTTCGAAGTGGAGAAATTTCAATAGGAGAACATGCTTTCTGTCTTCCAGAGTAACAAATAACTTGGCAATGTGGGTACTAACTTAATAAATGGAAGACTGGGCACGTCTACATGTTCATTTACTCCAGACAAGATTTACTGTGCAGTAAGCTACTGTACAGTAAGTGTTTTTGGGTAGGTGTCTACCCATGTAGGGATTAGGGAGATGATTTGCACCCAGTTCCCTGCAGTCCTGCAATGCAGCCCTGTGGCCGCTGGGGGGGGAGGTCCAGGCTCCAGCTGCAGGTGCTAGCACCTGGAAGCCATCTTCTAAAAGCCAGCCGTGCTCTTTGCTTTCTGGCCAGCCTCTTCCTTACTCAGGGGCAGTGTGCCAAACACAGAGGCAGCACACAGCATCTCTCTCCATGATCACACTATGGCTACCCCAGCCCCTGGCTCTGGCAGTGATGACCAGTGCCCCAGGCTCATGCTGGCCACCATGATCACCCTTCTGACCCTCTGTGTAAACTGCCGTCTGGCCCATGTCTGTTTCACCCCAGCCGGCTCTCCCACTACCAGCTACTGCCTTCCCACCTGCAGCATGCCATTCCAGGGCCACCGATAAGGGGTTTCTGGATGCCACTGCTGGGACCACTGTCACTGTCCTGGGCCTTCTGCTCTGCTGTGTCTGGGCCTGTCATGCCAGCCAGCACTTGTGGGTGTACCTCGTCCAGAAGAGCTGGAACAATGAGCAATAGCTGGATGCATTTCCACTAACCTGGGTCACTTTCTGGCACCTTGAGCAGCTCTAGCCCCACCTTGAGCAGCAGGACACTGACATGGGTCTGGCTCTTCTCATCGACACCTGCTTGGTCCTCATACTGCTGAAGCTGACCTTGCCTGCCATCCTCTGGTATATCAGACAACTGGTTAGTGTAGGCAAGGCCACTGCTGGGGAGGCCATCCTGGAGGTATGCGGGGCCCTCCAGGACATGCTGGGGCACACTGTGCTACATGTACATGACCCCCTGGAGGTGGTGGCAGGATTCCATGCATGGGGATTCCCCCAGTGTATCAGGGCCCTGGCAAAGACCCATATCCCAGTCATCTGCCCACCCCATGCAGAATGACTCTATTACACTCTGTGGTCCAGCAGGCCATCATGGACCACTACAGCACATTCACCCATGTCTGTGCTGGCTGGGCAGGCAGCATGCATGACACCCATGTATTTCAAGACTCTGGCCTGGCAGGACTGGTGGAGAGCAGGCATTTCATGCTGGGGGTGCTGGTTCTACAGCTGAGTGACATTGTGGTCCTGCCCCTGCTCATTGTGGACCCTGTCTACCCACTCCTGCCGTGGCTGATGTGGCCCTACACTGGTCACCTGGACACTTGCCAGGCCTATTTTAACCTCTGCTTTGGCTGGACCTGCACCATGGTTGAGCACATTTTTAGCAACCACAAGGCTGCTGGCACTCCCTCACAGCTCTCCTTGAGGTCACTGAGGAGAACCTTCCCTGGGTCATTGTTTCAGGCTGTGTGCTGAATAACATATGCAAGGCCTGGGTGGAGGAGGCGTGATGCATGGACGAAGTCTAGCAGCAGGAGCACCACCTGTGGTGGCAGCAGTAGTGGTGGCCCACTCCTCCCTGGCAAAGTAACAGGAGATCCATGCACCTGGCAGTGTGGGCCAGGGCACCAGCTGTGGGAGGCTTTAGCAGACCGCCTCCTTCAGCACTCCCTGCTGTAGCCTGCCTGCCCTGCTACCCACAGAACCCCCCTGCACCTACCCACTCCCAGCAGCATCTCACAGCAGACAAGTGTCCAAAGAAGAAATCTTTATTCCCCTCACATCACACCCCTCATTCCTCCCCTCTCCCTCCTGAACATATAGAGCCCCCTCCTCCCTCCCTCCCCAACAAACAGAGTCACTCTACCACCTATCCCACCCACCTACAATAAAAACCCTCTTCCCAGTGAAAGCTACATACAAGTGATTTCTTTGGCTTCCCGAAGTGGAGGGCCATGGGGTAAGGGCACCTAGAGGATGGAGCCTGGGTGCCAAAAATGTGGCAAATCTTTGAAATTTGGAAAGAGGTGGCAGTTGTTTCAAGTCCTTGTTGCACAGTATGAGATCACTTGGGATTTTTCATAGGAAAGCTTACCAAACTTTTTCTAACTTGAGCAAAACCATGGTCTGATTCTTAGAATATCTGAATGTTTGGATATTAAGATGGGGGATCTTCTTAAAATGAGACATAATTTATAGCAGAGGTTATAATTTACATTCTGAGAAAGACTTCAGGCTAATCAAACCAAGGATGATCCATTAGAACAGGATGCTGACTTTTTGACTTTGTGCTCTTATTTTCCATAAAACCTGAGGAAAATGGGAAATTAAATATATATTTCATAGACATTAGGGCTGGAAGGGACCTTGGAGGATCATTGAGTCCCCTCCCCCAGGGGCAGGAAGTCAGCTAGGGTCAAATGATCCCAGCAAGACAGACTTGCAAATGTTTCTTAAAAGTGTCCAGAGTACCACCTCTGGAGGTAGTCTATTCCAGACCTTGGGGGCTTGGACAGTAAAGAAGTTACCATGTCCAGCCTGAAATGGTCTTGGAGCAGTTTGTGACTGTTTGACCTTGTCATCCCTTGGGGCACTCTGGTGAACAGGTCTTCCCCTAGATCCTGATGTACACCCCTTATATACTTATAGGTGGCCACCAGGTCTCCCCTGATCCTGCGCTTTTCAAGACTGAAGTCCTGTGGTTCACAGCCTCTCATCACAGGGCTTGTTCTCCTGCCATCTGATCATATGCATGGCTCTCCTCTGGACTCTCTCAAGTTTTTCCACGTCCTTTTTAAATTCTGGAGCCCAGAAGTCGATGCAGTATTCCAGGCGCAGCCTCACCAAGGCTGAGTACAGTAGGAGGATGACATCCTTGGATTTGCTTAAGAAGAATCTAGGGATGCAAGCCAGAGTTTTG